GTTCAGTTATCTCTCAATAGATGGAGAAAAAGTAAGAAAAAATACTTGGAAGTTCAGTTATCTCTCAATAGATGGAGAAAAATTAAGAAAAATACTTGGAAGTTCATTATCTCTCAATAGATGGAGAAAAAATACTTGGAAGTTCAGTTATCTCTCAATAGAAGATAAGTGAAAAATCACGTTTCCTTCGTTCCATCGCTTGGAGGCGTTTGTTAAGTATTATATTACCATTACCTCATTCTTTAAACAATAAACTGACATTCTGGTGTATTAAATTTATATTTCTGTTACACTTTATTTCATGTACTCTTTGATTAAGTTTACTGATTCATACTTTATGTGTAAACACTAGAACTTTCGGTATTTAAAATTCTCTATATGATTATATTGTTCCTATCGCTTGGTTTGTTTTGCTGTGGTAAAGGGCCGGGTGTGTTTAAGTTTTTAGCTTGTCCGAACTGACAATCATTCATTGTTCGCGAGTCATTGCTCCAAAAACGTGCTCCGGACTTTGGGATCATTGGTGTACTATAAGTTTCACGATCAAATTTCAGTATTCTAGGAGAGTACTATAGGAAATGGCGATGGGTGCTGTTGGCAAGCTGCCTTTTCTCGGTATTGTTTTGTTTGGTTGTTTCAGATATTCGCACAAAGCTACACAAAAACTATCTACATTAGTCGACCTTGATTTTGAACTGTTAGACTAAAGCAGGGGTCACCTAACTATGGCCCACAAACCGGATCCGGCCTGCGAGGTTAGTTCATCCGGCCACCCACTGCACTGTGCCACAAATGAGCCAAAATGTAATTATTTTAAATGAACATCCAAGTTTTTTTTTCTTAATTTTATCTCCATCTATTGAGAGAAAACTGAACTTCCAAGTATTTTTTCTCCAGGCTGTTGTTTTTATTTACACGTGAAAGTGAAAATAGAGAGAGAGAGAAATGGATCTGTAGAAATTAAAATACATCGGTATACTTCTCGTCGAGATGATGTAACTACGTGCCATTAGGTACAACAATGACTAGTTACTGAAAGTGAAAAATAAAAATAAATGGTTTGAGTTAATCTGAGAATAAAACTAGTTTATTATGTAAAATTTCCCTGGGCCTTTCCATTGTTTAACAGATATTAAAATCACAAAAATAAGCTCGTGATACTGATCTATATAGCCTTGAAACATCCTAAGTAACGTTATCGTTATTGCTCGGGATTCGATTCCTCGCGGTAGACACAGCAGATAACCCAATGTGGCTTTGCTCTAAAAAAAAACATTTTTGAATTAACTGACGCAGAGAAGGCAGTAATTACTAAGCGCGATCATTAGGCCTTAAAGTAGCGACTTGTTTTTCTATCGTATTTTATCAGTTAGATCCACGTATCGTGTCACGTTGGTTTTTTCTGTTCTTGCCTGTTATAACAATTAGTGTAAAGAACTGACCAAAAGATTGAAATCTCAATTTCCGTTATGTAAAAATAAATTGGTGGCGCTAGTGTGCTATTTATCGCATCATTTGTGGTATTTTGTTCTAATTGTTTGTGATCCATGTGTCACTAGGGGTCTTGTAATAAATTACGTCATGTACTCACAAGGAACTTTGTACGTAAACAGTTGAGAGCAGCGTATTTAAAAGAATGTGTTGGTAATTGTAGGGTTAACCGAACAATAAGGTATTTGGAAGCGTTTAATGTTTTCAACGGTAAAATAATAATACTGTAGGTATTAATGGAAATCAAACGTTAAATGAAGTATATTTCAACAGTTATTAAGAGGTAGTTGTCTGACTGATTAATGGGATTTGAAACTGCACTGATAATCTCAAAATGCGGAAGGCGGTTTCGCGTCAACTGAACTGAAATCATGGGCCCTCAGATTTACAGTTAGCCATTGAAGTCATTATCTAAAACAAACTGTTTTAGGCCTTAAGTGATTACGCTATCTGCTGCACAACTGTACATATTCAAAAGTTATTTCGCTCAAGCAAAGATGGCGTTTAATGGCCAAAAAAGTTGCACTTCTTCGCCCGTCTATCTGTCCAACATCTAGACGTAAAAAATTATAAAAGCTACTGCAGGTTGAAACTTCCTAAAGGATTTTAGGCATCGCAACGTATAACTCCGCCATCTATTGAGGGATAGAGAAAGCTTGATAGTACAATCTTTGATATTAGTCTTTTGCCAAACAAATTCCGAGGACGAAGTACTACTTAATACATATTGTTATTTTACTGTAATTTATTACTTTATACATTCATTTTTTTAATGTTTTACGGTGGTAAATGAAAATTATTAGTGTAAATACTAAACAAAAAAAAAAGAGTAAACAATGAAAATTTGCTATAAAACTTGCAGAAAATTAACACACTTTAAAATAACAATGCTAAAGTTCTGACTATTTACTTGCAAGTTATTTTTTAAAGTCTAAGTGTGTTAATATTTTAGCT